GCCAGCAGTAAGTTTGAGCAGGGGAAGGGGTGTTTAACCCTTGCCCCAGGCCCAAGCCAGAGTTTGCCAGGGATGGGGGAGCAGACCCCTCTTGCAGACTGGGCTGCATCCCCAACTGGGCTTGCTCCGCCCTGTCAGCCAGCCCTCACTGGTCCAGCTAGGGAGCAGAGGGGTGGGGCCAGCTCTGCTCTCTGGAGCAGCCAGCACAGCCCAGCTCAGGGCTACAAAGCATGTTGGGAGACTGTGATTTAACTAGGAAGGGATCTGGAACAGAAATTTTGTAAACTAGTTTGACCTAGATCAGTTAAATCTGATACTACATTCAATCAGGTTTTTCTTAAACCAGTTTCAGCCATTTTGATGCTGGTTTATGCGCACTGAGCTTCTGTTCTGTTATGGCTTTAAACCAGTTTCTGATCACTTAAACTGGTTTATGTTTAACTTCTGTCCCTAGCCTCTGAGTTTCCTGATTGGGGAAGAGGGGGAGGAAACCCTGCGTCTTGACCCCTGGACAGGAGAATGGGCAGCAAAGTATGTGAAGGCTGCCTCATAAAAGGCCAAATCGTACCACACAGGCAAGGCATGCACCGAGCTCCCCTGTGCAGCACTTCTTTTGAATTATTCTGTAAGAACTGAAGAAATGAGTTGTCCCTGCTCCTTTGCAAAGATGCACTATGAAAATGGTGTGCAAAGGCTTCCTGTTGCAGGATACACTGCCCCCGCCAGCCAACTGTCTGAAAGGAGGCCAGTATAAATCCAGCTTGCAGCTAGGCTCCCTGTGCACTCATCCTCAAACTCACTGCCCAGTCCAGGTAACTAGGCACAGCAGCTAACCCGGGGCGGGCAATTATTTCGGGCGGAGGGCCACTTACTGGGTTTCAGCAAGCCATCGAGGGCCACGTGATAGGCAGACAGGGGAAGATAAATATTAATTTTCTAAATTTTTTAGGGGCCCTGCGGGCCGGATAGAATGGCCTGGCGGGCCACATCTGGCTCCTGGGCCGCATTTTGCCCACCCCTGAGCTAACCTCTGCCATTTCCATTTGGGAATACAAAGGTCTGTGAGACAGTGATAAAAAGAGCCTGCTTTTGCTTTGTCTTTTCAAGCAAGCAGACATTTTCCTCTCATGTCAGTGACACTGACCTCCCACTGCTCTCTGTACGGGGAGTTCATGAATTCAATGGCTGTTTTCTCTTTTTAAAAAGCAAACCAATTAGCAGCAATCCAGTAGCGCCCAGGTGAGATGGAATAGGTGGCTGCTACTTACCATAATTTGAATATCATTAATTTGTGCTGTCAAAAATGGAGAAAGTACCAAGCTCTGAAATGGGCACTATGACATTTGCTACTAATTAAGAAACGTGGGGTGGAGGTTTTGCACTTTAGTTAAAAAAGTTCAAAATAGAACGAACCACTTTGTATCTGTGCTTTGGGTCTCAGAAATTCCTTTCCAAAAAATTAACCCCCCCCCCACAATGCTCTGCCCAGGCAGCAGTCCACAGGTGAAGGGTTGTCGCTCAGACATTTGGAGGGAGTCATTGTACAGAAAATGAATAATGTTACTTGATGTCCAATCAAGAAAGACCCAGGTATAACATTCATGGCATGGATGCTATAGCATATGCACCGAATGTTATCACAAAGAATTTGGATGTTTAGAGTATGATGCTAGTACACTAGCATCCTAGTGATGCCACTGGGTACAATTTCCATGACATTTGGGGTTTTAATCCCAACAAAGCATTGACAGGTTGATATTGGGTTCTTAATATGATCTATTCAGGCACAAGCATATGAGCACTGGGTTGTGGCATCATGGTCCTAGACATTAGTATCCTGGCTCGGTGGCATGTGGCGCTGAATTGTGACACAGCTGTGAGCCACAATCTCAGCCATTTTCTCTACTGGCAGTTGCTGTAGGAAGGCTCTCCTTTGTAAACGTGTAGCAAAGTTCCTTCAATCAGCAATATCTCTAACTGTTTCACAGGAAATTCTTCTGTTAGCTGAGTCAGTACGAGCTGCACAAGCTTGACTCAGCTGGAAGTAGCTCAGATGCATCATAGCAGGATCATTCTGTCCTGAAAGATTTATCCTCCCACATTTTCCCGGTGGGCTGCAAGGAAACATACCTGTTGTTTATCCACAGATACAGACAGTTAGCTCATGGTTTGAGCTTTGCTTACTCCCACATTGCCACTGATGCTTTTTCTTGTCCTTCCATCAGAAACATGGAAAAAGGCTAAATGCCTTCGTCAGTAGTGAACCTTGAGTGATGTGCCATCTCCTGTGACACAGACGGAGAGAAGATCAGGAGGCAGAGTTGAGTCAATGGGAAGGCACTGGGGACTGCCCCACAATTGTAGTGCTGACAACTGAAAGATATCCTTCCCAAGAGGCCTCTGATGCCACGGGAAACCTCCGATGGAAGGTGAGTGGCAGGTCATGGTGGAAGGTCCTGGAGTACAAGGTATACTGTCCCTCTCAGCATTTGTTCCACTTTTCTGTGCTACTGTAAAAGGTTTTGGATGGGGGCAAGGGACTAGGTCAGTCATTCTCAATGTTTTTAGACTCAAGGAATCCTTTGTTTGACTCAAGGCACCCTCCATAATTTTTATTAATTGAGCAGCATCCCATTTCAAAAACTAATTTATTACAGAGCTTTCCTCCTTGCAGAGGGGCTGGGCAGTGGGGGCAAGTGAGCAGCCAGGCAGGGACTAGCCTGAGTCTGCACTTAACTCCTCACACCTATGCAGCACCCTTCAGAAGGTCACGTGGCACCCCAAAGTGCCCAGACACCCTGGCTGGGACTCACTGGATTAAGCCCACAAAAGGAGACAAGGTATTGCTTCAGTGATTCCTGTTATTGAACATGATATGAGCTGTGTCCCTTTCTAACAAGCTTCTTCTTGGTGTACTTTGTGTAGCTGGCTAACCTACATGGTAAACTTAACAGCATCCCCAAGCATGCTGTGCTGCTCTGGGCTGTGGCCTTCTAAACTAGCTTCCTAGTAGGGGTGTGCAAAACGGGCCCTATTTGATCCAGATTTGGATTCGGCCCAAATTGGGGACGGTGGTTTGATTAATTGATTTGGATCACTGTCCCTGATTCGATTTGGCCAAATCCGAATCTGAAGATTCGATGCTGATACAGAGAATTAGCAATTTGGCTATAGACACAGCTTTAATTGTTTTTTCTACATACCTTGAGGTACCAGGCATGGCTCATGAATGCTGTGATGCTGGAGCAGATGGAGCATGGGGGGTCCCCCTGTGCACTCTCTGGCGGACTTGGAAGTGGACTGGAAGTGCTTCCGGTCCACTTCTGGGTCTGCTGCTGAGCATGCTGGGGACAACCCCCCACCCCCACCCCAGTGCTCCTGTGGGATGCTTCATGTGCCCCAGCATCACAGCATTCATGAGCTGCCTGCTACCTAGAGTTATGTAGAAAAAAACATGTAAAGCTGTGTCTATGCCCAAATCGCCTAATCTTTCTGAATCTCTCTGAATCATTTCAGAGGATTCCAATTCAATTCAGAGAGATTAAAGGGTCCTCTGATTTGATTTGGATTAGGAGATTCAGCCACTGAATCGGGGCAGATCTCTGCTGAATTGAATCAGGGACTGAAGCTTCGCACAGCCCTACTGCTTAGACATGTCTGGGCCAGTTGCAGGTGAGGTAATTGGCACAGCAATAGAGTAATTGGCCCAGTCAAAGAACCACAGACATGGCTACTAGGCCTGTGCGAAGCAGCGAGCATTTGCTTCGGATTTAGGTTCAGCTGATTCAGAGGAACAGTGATTTGATTCAGTGATTTGAATCACTGTCCCAATTCAATTCGGCTGAATAGGATCCAAAGATTCGGCACTGCTTGGGAGATTCGGCCATAGACTAAACAGGCAGCAGTCCTTGCTACACTGGACACAGCTGCCTCCAGTCGGTAAGTCTGTTGTGGTGGGTGGAGGGGGGTGGGAAGGGATG